CAGGTAACTAAATACTCTTGTTTATTACATAACCAGGTAACTAAAGTTTTGATATTGTGACAATGCATTGAGAAACAAAATGTTCCCAGTAGCTCAGTGGTACATCTATAGACTTATAATGCCAAAAACTGGGTTTTGATACCTGTGATGGGCATAACACAGATAGCCCATTGTGTAGTTTTGTACTTAACAAAAAGGAACAAGATAATTGAGTAGATAAGATGTATCAGGCAAGTAAATAAAGCTGTAAGTCAATACTTATTTTAATATGTATTCAGTAGATATGAATTATTTTATTGGTCCTGAGGAATCTCGTGATTGAAAGATATTCCAGAATGTATACTTGAACTGCAAACATAACGAGCTATTTTAGTTTTCACGTTCTCCGGCGTAAGTTGGTTAGACAAATGAGCTGATTCTACGTCGGCTACAAGTACTTATCGAATACGCGTGTTTCTTGATTTACAGAGTACGTAAACAAGTGGTGAATATACCATCTTTCATTGTACGGCTGGACTCTGAGAAACACATCGACTTCTCCTTGAAGTCTCCATTCGGTGGTGGCCGACCTGGACGCGTAAAGAGGAAGAATAGCCGAAAGACTCAAGGTGGCGCTGGTGGTGAGGAGGAAGACGAAGATTAAACTATAACACGTTTGTTAATTGTCCTTGTACTATCCAAGATGAAGTAATAAAACATTTGGTGGACATTGAGGAGTATTTACTGTTTCTAATTGTACAAGTTGTAGTGATGTAACCAGGATGTATGTATTACCTGCCTTGTTAGTAAACCTTTGGAACAGTCTTCGAGTAGAATTAATATAACACGAAGCCCGTGTGCTTGTAAATATATAATTGTGTCAAAATAAGATCCATTTCTTCAAGGATGTCCCTACAGCAAACAACCATAAAGTAAGATCACAAGCTCGTCCTTTGTTTAAGTGTTTCTCTAAACCACAGTTCTCAAACTTCAGTGCTGGTCCCATTTCCCGCATCCCAAAGCTGTGGTTCTAAAATGTATTTACCCATCATGCGACCCCACCAGAGCCTGTAGCAAGCCAGATATGGGAACCACTGACTTGGACTATACTGAACAAGGCATGTTTAGTGTTGAAACTATCAAAATTCAAGTTTGTGTCAGATTCACTTTGTAGCTTTAGAAAGAGGAAAGCAGTAGGTTAATGCCACCTAGTGTAACAATTGGTGACTAACAAATTTATGATTTGTTGTTTCTTTATTCAGTCATATTTGACAAAAGGAAACATAATGTAGGTTGTTTTAATAATACCCGAACCTCGGTTTCACAGTTTGTGCATGCTAACCAGGCAGCTATACACAGCCCAGACTTATCAATGTATGTTTACAATTGCAATGAAACAAGTTAACCTTATTAACTGTGTAGAAAAACCAGAGTACCAACAACTATTTCCATACAATATTCTGCAAGACTTACCCAACTGGAATGTTTCGGTTTCATATCGACTTAAAAATGTTTCCCCCCCTTTTACTTTTCATACATTTTTTTATCTTGTTAGAAGCTTCATGTATACTAACTGTTTAGTTCTGTAGCAACAAACATGTTAGTATTAATACCCTTCTTGGGATAACCATCCTATCTTTTTTTTGTCCTAATGGCTTGTATTCAACTACAGACCAAACACATTTTTTATGGCCATTAGCATTCACATTATATTAACACAAAACATGAGCCTGGTTTAGCACTTGCAGTCTGAGAGTCGTCACCGAACCTGCTCACCCTTTCAGCTCTGGGAGTGTTATGATTGGTGGAAAAGCCCACTATTTGTTGGTAAAAGAGTTGGTGGTGGGTGGCGTTGACTAGCTGCCTTCCCTCTTGTCTATCACTGCAAAATTAGGGATAGTTATCACAGATAGCCATAGTGTCAGTTCAAAATTAGGGATAGCTATCACAGATAGCCATAGTGTCAGTTCAAAATTAGGGATAGCTATCACAGATAGCCATAGTGTCAGTTCAAAATTAGGGATAGCTATCACAGATAGCCAATAGTGTCAGTTCAAAATTAGGGATAACTATCACAGATAGCCAATAGTGTCAGTTCAAAATTAGGGAGAGTTATCACAGATAGCCATAGTGTCAGTTCAAAATTAAGGACAAGTATAGATAGATGGGCCTGTTGTAGCTTTCCATGAAAAGTCTATAAAAAAATTCACTAATATATATGTTTTTATGCCCCTACTTCATAGCATTTGCAGAGTGAGGCATATTTGTTTTCCCCTTTCTGTCTAGATTTCATGGATGGATTTTGACTAAACCTTTACAACTGGTAATGTATAAAAAGTTCTAGACCTGATAAGGTTTTGAAGGTCAAAAAAGTCATATTTACATAAAAAAATCTCACGAAACCTTGTGGACATGATATTTCAATACATGATAAATAGATAACGGGTATACGTCGTCAAATTAGGGGGAAGCGTATATACAGTATAAAATTAGTTTGGAGAAAGATGATTCATAAACCCAATTATAAATTTTTTAAAGGTTTTTAAACAAGAGTTACGTACATTAATTTAAAAGGATGTAGGTTGGTCGAAAACATTTGATCTATTCTTTAATATATTTTTTAAATTCATGTTTTCTCAACTGCGTGCCAAAGTACGAACTATCTTGTTTGTTTTTCAAGTAGAAACCTTATAACACCATAGACAAACCTATACATATTGACATAATGGTTAGTGGCTCCAGGGTTCGAGACTTGGTACTTCCGAACGTGCTTCGCGGTTTCAATTGTAGGTGCGTTATAAAAGTGTCAGTAAATCCTGTTATTCAGTTCAAGAAGCTCTTATGGTGGCAGGTGTTGCTGGCTGACCATATTCCCTCTGGTCGATATTTCAAAATTAAGGTTGGTTGTACCTCAATACAGATGTTTTGTTTTTAATCTTGAAGCCGTTTACTTGACTTCACTAACTTTGGGATTGGACATTTCTACTGGCTAAGTTGTTGAACGTATCGAGTAATTTACAAAATGGTATATATATTGACTGGTTATGAAGGCAACTAATGATCTGTTGACTAAATGGTATATATTGACTGGTTGTGAAGGCAACTAATGATCTGTTGACTAAATGGTATATATTGACTGGTTGTGAAGGCAACTAATGATCTGTTGACTAAATGGTATATATTGACTGGTTGTGAAGGCAACTAATGATCTGTTGACTGAAATAAATTACCAGTCAATGATTGTTCCATTCTACACCAACCTTTTTGTTTACCAGTTATACTAAAATGATTAATTAGTGTGTTTTTAATTAACGTAGTATGTTTAGTCTACATCTAAATCTTAGTTTGACATTTCATTTCAGAAATTGTTTAATTTTCAAAATATAACACCCCATCATCATGTGATCATACCAATAAACTTGTAAGTTACACACTTGTATAACTTCATTACAAAATTTCGTAATAATGCTTGCCAAATTTCCGATGTTGTTTGTAAATGAATCAGCATTTTTTTCATTGTGCTACAGGATTCTGCTACAACGTAATCCATGTATGGCAACGGTCTTGACATTCGGGCAACATTGATGCGATTTGTTGACCGGCTTTCAAAGCAACATTGAAAATGTTATCACGTGATTTGCTCTCTGCAGTGGCGTATACTGGCTGTTGTCTTTGGTTTATCGCACTTGTATATATTTGTATAACAGTAATCAAAATATCCAAAATCATCATGAAAAATGCGTAACTAAAAATAAATTAGCATTTAGTATAATAAACAATACTAAATTAGCGCAATCTAGCATTTACAACCAACCTACTTTGCGTCGCAGTTATGAGCGATATATTTCCAAGGTTCGATGACGAGGAACCCACTTTGAGACTAATAATGGCTGGAGACGGCTTGAATGGGTAATGAAGAAAAACTTTAATATAAGTTTATCATAACAGCCACCTGATGATGTTGTACATTTGCTGTTATGA